ATATATATATATATATATATATATATATATATACATGCACACACACACACACACACACAGATATGTATATATATATATTTATATATATATATATATATGTCTATAGCTATATACATATTCACGTATAAACACGTCACTTACATGCCTTATTTTACTGTCTTGTTTCCTGCAAACTTTTTATTTCTTTGTGTTTCTTTGTGTTTCATTATTAAAAGTCAGATGTAATAGCGATTTTGGTTTCATCTGTTTGGACAAGCACGTGGAAGTGTCATGCTTCGCGACATCGTTTATCCAACTATTTATCTGATGATTGCTTTTGGGTTCTCAGAGCATATGCAGCTGCGTTTGTCATACACAATTACCTGTATACACTAGCTAGCATGTACTTGATGATATGTATGTGTGGTTGTGTAGTTGTTGTAAGCAGCATGGTTAGGGATGTGTTTTTCTCTCGTGCGCATGTATTTGCTGTATTAGCAGTGAGTTTAGTATTCGCTTTCATGTTCCGCTGTTTCCACATGTAGAAAGCGTTTAGTCATGAAACATATATCATCTCCAACTGTTCACTCATTTCTGCACGCGCTATGTTAAAGGTTACAAGAAGACCCCCCACAAGGCGTAAGCGGAGCTCCGGGTGATAACAATATAATGCTCTGGAACGCCGTTATCTTTGGACCGGAGGGAACGCCATTCGAAGACGGTGTGTGGTCAAGAACCAAGGTTTTGCGGGGTATTTATCTTGCCTTTTCATTGCTCATACCGTTCGGCATGTATGCTGACAAAAATTGCCATCAACATACTATTTGTCGGAGGAGCATTTTCAGTTGTGTACATTCTATAGTCGAAAGTGTCTACCTATCACTGGGAGTATACATAGTGGAGGTATGCAGTACAAGGAGATGCATGTTTTCGTGTGCAGTACAAGGAGATGCATGTATTCCTATGCTTTCACCGGTTGCATATTCAACATTTCGATGCTGCACGCGCACTCCGCCACCCATTGTGATTGGTACTGATAGTTCATTTTGTGCATCGCATCCAGGCACGTTCAAGCTAACTATGGAATTCTCGGAAGACTACCCCAATAAGCCACCTGTGGTGAAGTTCGCATCAGCCATGTTCCATCCCAATGGTAAGCGACGACTGGGCGTAGAGGTGTTGGTACCTGATATGTGAAAGCTTATTTTTAAGGACACATATCTCCCCACTCGACAAGCGAATTGTGACTCCTGCTGACCTCGGTTGAGAAATCGCCTGTCTTACATACTTCTTAGTATACAACACCTCGTCCTGCGCTGGCATACTTCACGTTTATTCGTTCATACACAAGCTTGAATGCGTACGAGAATGCGTTTTAATAGCCTTTGTGAGTGCCCCTTTTTGATCTATATGTTTGAGACTGAGTATATATTCGAGTACCTTTGAGTGAATGCTTGTTGTTGATTGTCTCTTGTTTGCTCCTGATTCCGTCTGTTCTCTGATGAGAGACCGCTTGTTCCATCAGACGATATTGCTGGTGCCTGTGCATATCTAATGTCTTTCGCAGATGTGATCTATTCGGAGAGTATCATAGCGATGCGTACCTACATGTACAACACACTGGCAACATACTCACATGTACATATTTGTGTTTGAAACGCGTAGAATACAAATTTACAATAGACAATAAATGCGAATTATATGGATATGATCACGCACATGCGGTATCCGTAGAAGCACATACACCGTTGTGACTTCGTTCAACACTCTCTTTTCGTTTCTGTCGTCCTGTCAGTGTGCACACATCTCTGCCGATCTAACACGCACTCGTGTTCACATGCAATTCAATTAATCCTGCCGTCCTTCTTCCTTCCTTTGCGACGCAGTGTATGCGGATGGAGGTATATGTTTAGATATTCTACAGAACAGGTGGAGTCCGACGTACGATGTCGCGGCCATTCTCACGTCTATTCAGGTATATCTCTTTTCTGAATGTGTATAGTGAGGAATATCGGGTGTACTGAGAACTAGGTATTGATGTATTTCTTAAAGACCAGCGTGGGATGTAATTACTTTGCACCGAGTTGGGCGATAAAAAAAGCACTCTCCTGCCAATCCAGTGTGAGCGGTGGTGCCTATTGGGTGGCCATTCATCAATACCTGTGAATGGGTGGATGGATGTCATATATTGGAATTTTAAAATGTGTTGGGATTCAAGACCATACAAGCGCATGGAACGTTACGCATTTCTCACCAAGGGGATGTAAATACATACACGAGTACATACAGATATATTTTTCTCACTTTGCATTCTCTCAACACAGTACGGCCTGTTCGTCTGTTCAAAATGTTAAGATAATTGTCTTTTTGTATGTTCATATATATAAAACCCTTCTCGCATCTTCATTTCATATTCATCGCCATTCAGTTTGTACATATACTACACATACATTATTATATCACTAAGCATTTCTATTACTCTCTGCCTATCAGTCTCTGCTGGACGAACCCAATCCCAATAGTCCCGCAAACGCCACGGCCGCGCAATTGTATTCAGAGAACAGGCGCGAGTATGAGAAGAAGGTCAAAGCCATAGTAGAGCACTCGTGGATGGAGTGAGTCCACAGTAATAAGCTGTTATAGTTGATTAAAATATTAGATATTGAGAAGGTGTGGGATGCGGACATCAAGTGTGAGCATGTGGAATGGGACATATAAATATGTAGAAACGAATTATAGTATGTTTCCGATGAAGCTAGTTTGGCTCTGGGCGGAGTAACTATGATCAACAGTTGTCGGAGTGAAAGCACGACTGCGAAATGATCAAGGCCGTAGCAGAGCAACGGTGCTATACCGAGTTACCCCATCGACTGTATGTGTTGTAGGTAACAGTAAAAATGCCTGCTTGCTGGGCGTCCGTTATGCAGCGCTTCGTTCTTCGGCTTCAAAGATACCGCAATAACAGAGCAAGAATATGTACAACTGCGAATATCCAGCTTGCCCAAAGTATGCTTATGCGAGAGCTACGCACATGTGTTGGACTAAGCAGTGGAAATCCACTCCGCCCGTATCGCAATAAAAAGACTTACGTCGCATCGAAGACGCGACCACAGATTCGCTTTTGAAAACGTAGTTAGTGTCCAACTTTGTATCTCTATCCGTGTCAGGGAGTATGTCTTCACGTGTGTTGAATGCATATTATTTTTATTCGGAATTTCCGTTTAAATATTCGAGACTATTAATGTTTTATATGCGCTTACCTGTCTGTACGTGCAGTAATTAATAAGCTTATGCCACCTGTTCTTCACCCTTGGAGATTACGCTCTTGTAATCCGCTGGCTCGTACGGCATCATATACTCAGCCAGCACATTGCTTTTAAGATTCGTGCTCAGCCCCATATCTTTTAGCAGCAGATCATGGTAGTGTATCTGATGCAACAACACCAAACTAGCTCGACTCGCCGTCTTGGGCATCCATTCCCTCGCCCACGCCTTGTGAGAATCCACCCCCTTCACCATCACATCTACTGGCGGGTTGTTAAGGTCCACACCTGTTTTCGCATCGGTTTGTACTAGTTTTCCATCCATTTTGCGTGCCAGCCACTCGGCCTGTAAGCCATAGGTGGCGATATTAGACGCAGTCGCCGTGTTGCCGATGAATGCAAGGTTCGGTACTTTAGGTGGCAGCAAACCCCTGTACAGATATAGTCCATCGTCCTGGATATCCAGATCCTTTTGCACCGCCGTGTTGTTGAAGAACGAGAAGTCTCGGCCAAAACCAGTCCCAAACACCACCACATCCGCGTCTAAACTGGACCCGTCTTTAAGGTGCAGGGGTGCCTCCGGGTTGTCACTGTACTCGACGATTTCCCCGTTTCTCACCTGGATCTTCCCAGACTTCCTAAGATCAGAATATTCATTGTCCAACACGTTTGCATACCCGTAGAAGTCAGACACAACATCCGTTGAAGGCCGGGTTTCACCCTTCTTCAAAGCCAACTGGAACGCAAACAAACTCTCAACAATTCCGAAGATCGGCTTCATCAGGTTCCTGCCTATCACACTATCCCGCAATGCGTTTACCGCTTTCCCACTACCCCCAGGAAATGTACCACGGTGTGCACTCACCAGGGTAGTGCCGAACCGACTGAGGAAAACGTATTGGAACGGAATCAATCCAGCGATCTTACGCGGTGTGGGCCAGTGGGGATTGCGTTGTAGCATGGTAACGCTTTTAGCGTTTGCGTGCGCTGCGTTAACGGCAATGTCGATGGCGCTCTTGCCACTGCCTACCACCACTACGTCCTTACCGGTGGCCATGCCGTTATCACGGAAGTCGCCGCTACACAGAACAAAGTACAGGAGGCTTGTTAGTGTCCAACGGGCCTCGGGGCAGTTCGGGTGTGCATACGGATCCGTGGGATGTATCCTTGCTCAAATCAAACAAACGTATATATACGCTAGAATGTCCCGCCACTCGCGAGCGGTAAGATTTGCCACGCATCGGAAGTGGCAGCAAAAGTATGTTCACAGTATTGATAGATCAATGAGATGTGTGCATACACATGCGCGCGCGTGTGCAAAGGAGTACACATAAGTGTTGGTTGTATATTAAATGTAATGTGGGAACCAGAACAGACGTTATGACATGCACGTGACAGGCCTAGCGTAGAAGGTGTCAAGAAAATGCAAAGATAGTCGGACATTGCCATATACAAAACTCACAGTACGATCAACAGCCATTCAAACCACCCCCGCCTCTGCCCAATCTATCACTCCAGAAGACCACTAGATGACACGCTCGCAGAGCAACATTTCTGCATCGCAGACTCTTCGTAGAGCAACGAAGACATGAACACAACCACAGCTCTCTCCTGAGAATGCCTAAAAGCCATTACACCTACCACCACAATCCCAACCCAAGAGGGTCAAACATCACGAAATTTAGCACAATATAAGTTTAACACAATATCCTCGTTGCGCGTGTGCCCCATGGCGCTGTTAACTGTCATTAGGCGTCTCACCTGTGCAGCACAGACATGCCTTGCTTGGGAGTGCCGCCAATCCTAGGCATGTACTGATTCAGACCCGAATACAAGCCCGTAGCCACCACCAGATAGTCAAACTCAGCATCTCGCTCTCCTTGCGTCCCCTTCCCGCCCTGAGCAGTACCTGACGTGTCTGTGCTGGTCGACGTTCGTACGATCCACCCACTCTTCCCGTCGTCGCTCAACTGCTCCACTCCCGTCACACGCGTGTTCAATACAATGGAGTCCCGGATGTTAAACCGGTCCGCATACTCTTCAATGTACGACTGCACCTTGACACCGTCGGCGAATTCGCCCCACTCTGCGCTTGCCATGGGGAAATCGGGAAATTCATACAGCTGTTTGGGCGCCTGAATCCCGAAATTTGCGTAATTCTCACGCCATACCCCTCCGATGTTATTAGCACACTCGTATGCTGTTACCTCAATACCCCTATCTCTGAGTGCGCGTACTGTCTGTAAGCCAGCCACACCCGCCCCGATCACAGCCACACGGTCAGGCCTAGAGTGTGATGCATAGCTACGGGTATGCGGATGTGTGTGAACACGCCCATGTGTACCACGACCCGATGAGTACGCACGTGTGTGTGTCTGTCGCAGATTGACTGCCGGTCGGTGGTTAGCGCCGACACCCATAGCCTTCCGCACAATGTCGTACCCCTCCTGTCTGGGCTTGGCCCACTCCTTAGTGATACCTTCCAACTGCATGAGCCGTCTATGTTCCTTGTCATCCCAGTCCATAGCAAACAACGCGTCCACATACTGGTGTAGTTTCTTCTCCAGTTGTTGACTTGCCTCGTCCGCAGCCGCCCCTTCCTTGTTCAGAATCGCGTCGAACTGGCAGTGATCAAAGGCAGGTACATCTGCACTCGCCAGCAACTCGTATCGCTCAAGTAGCTTCTTGCCATCGACACTAACTATCTGGCCCTGTACAGCTCTATCCCACATCATCTTTGACAATACAGCAGCCGTACACACTTCCTGACTGTCTTGTGCACCATCAGCAGCAAGCGTTTCCAGCACCTTCACCTCCCCTAAGGCCGTGTCGCCGTGCTTACCCATATCCAGATCAAAGTTCCGAACTTCCCCTGGCTGCACACCCGCCTGTCTCAGATAGTGTACGGGCACTACGTGCGCTTGAGGTGAGTCACTCGCACCTGTAAGCACGACCTTTCCGTTGAGATCACCTATGTTTTGTACCCCACTTCCTTTTCTCACGGCAATAACTGTCTGGAAGTCTCTGTCACAGTCCCGCATTCCCAGAGAAACAACCTGTTTTTCCGGTGCAAGAGCACACACCATTTCCTCGGTTAGTACATGTGCAATGGGACCATTCCAGGCCATGTCGATGGTTCCATCTAATAAGGAACTCACCTGTGCCTCATAGTTGGTGAAGAGAACAAAGTCAAACGGCACCCCTTTGGAGTTGAGATATGTTTTGATACCTGACCATATATCCCCTACACTTGGATCATAGCACACACATCCCATTAATAGAGTATCGGATCGCTTTGGAATCCCCTTAGCAAGCCTAGATAGCTCGACTGTACATAGTTTGGTTGTGGTGGAGAATGTTCGGCCTGTATGGAATATAGGTGAAACACTGTGCGAACTTAGCACATTCCTCGAGTGTATATTGGTAGACTTGCTGAGCGATCCTATTCTAGTGGGGACCTGTAAGGCTCCACTATAGAGCTTGGACCACTTCATCCCTACTTTTTACGCAGGTAACTAACACTAAATATAAGCAGGGAAGGTGTGGGAGATTCTTACGGTAGTGTTCGTTCTAAAAGGCAAACGCCCACACTCTGGGTGCAGTGGACTACTATGTCTTGCAGCCCAATTTGTGCATGATTTGGTTGTGATAATTTTTATCTGATCCATACACACAGATACATAAAAATACGGTGTCAAGAAGACAAACCTGACACCTGACACGCTATTGATTCCACTCTCAATATTTCACTCACAAGGTAAAATATTTCTGCAAGTATAGTATAGAGATAATGTGCATGGCGACCTACATCCCGTTCACGCACTCGCCACATACACTCGTGCTAACCTTTAACATACTAACGTTTACCTATGCCATAATACAAAAGTTTATTAGGCTGGTTAGCGACATGATTTTATTTGGAGGTTCGAGAACCCAGCGATACGCTTAAGATTTGGTTGATTGACATCAAATTAGTCTCACCCACTCCCCAGTGTAGTTGTGATCGAATTGTTTGTATATATTTGTGTATATATATTTATAAATATATATATTTGGACATAAATCTATAAGTATATGAATCACACGTCTCGGGCCATGTTTTATGTACGAGCTTATAGGCCGATATTTGGCACAGGTGCATTGCTATCAGGTGTTCCAAAGTACAGCCCTTGGTTATCACAACTAGGAGTCCGTGCCTTCCACACACAAACCGCGAGGACATACTCCAACTCTATTAGCACAATACCGAAATGGCCAAGCTTTTCTTTCAACAGCCCCAAATTATTTGATGGTGGGCAACCGAAAGCTATAAATAAGATTGTGAGACCATTTCATAGTTGTCTATCAACTTTAGACCAGAGCGATGAGCAGACGGCATACAAGGGCAGAGCCGGCAAACTCCATGTCAGCGGCAGATCAAATCGGGAAAAAAAGGTATACTGCTTTTATTAGGCATCATCGAACACAACACTCCTCGTTCAAAATATGGTGGATAAACTCCCTTTAATATCATTGCTTTTAATTGTCTTGTCATAATATATATATATATATATATATATATATATAGTATGTATGTATGTATGTATGTATGTATGTATGTATGTATGTATGTATGTATGT